CTCTCAGCCACTCTGAGCTCGGGAACCAGAGCACAGAAAATGCTACACCTCAACTCCAAAACCCAGCCCTGAGGGCTTCTTCCGCCAGAGGTACACACCAAAGGTCACAGACCTCAAGCTTTTCAGGAATAAACACTTGCAACTCCCCACCCACTCCCAGCCATGGACCTCCAGGCAGTCCACCTGCCACCCAGCAAAATCCTAGGGAGTGGGTGTGGTGCTTCTCCTGGGACAGAAACTTCCTTTGCAGTCGGCGACAACACTTATTTACTGAACATCTACTATGTGCCAATGTGTCAGGCGCAGCTGGGGATTCAGAAATGGCTCACTGTGAATTGTATTCTGAGACGTGATATAAATAGCTAAAATATAGGGTACTTTATATGCACAATGGCAGAGGCTCAGATACGATTGTTCCTTCACATGAGGGTCAGAAAAGGCCTCTTGGAAGAAACATAATTTGAGATTATTCTTGAGCAGCTGTAGGCACAGTGACAAGTGAAGAAGGGGTACTAGGGAGGAAGAGGATTTCAAATGGGGGGGGGAAAAAAAGGTAGAGAAAAGGCCAGGAGATGAACAAGCAAGGGGAGAGAATCTGGTAATCTGGGGTGTGGGAGGTATGAGGGAGAGAGGAGGCGCTAAACCCAGTTAGATCTGACCACATATCTGGCCTGTCCTCAGTGGGCAGCCTCAGAGTCACTTCTCCAGCAAACATCATCCGACAGTGGTACAGAGAGGCAGAGGTAGGTGTGAGGAATTTCACAGAGGCGGAATGTCGGCAAGTTAAGAACACAAACGAAAAGCACTGAGAAGAGAAAAAGAGGGTGGGTGGGGGCAATCAAAGACTTAATGATGCTTCTCATTCTGTTTATCAAGATATTGAACACCTAGTAGGAGCCAGATAAAGGGACAGGGGCACGAGTCCCAGGCTTTGCCCACCAGTCACCTGGTGCTGGCTTCGAGGCTGGCTTAGAGCGGGCGAGCCATGAGTGATCAAGGGAGGTCTGACCGAGCAGGTGAGCAGCCCTGTTTCAGACATTTCTTATCTGAGGCAGCTCAGCACTATAGAGAACCAGGAGGGATCCCAGGGAGGGAAGATACCAGGAACAGGCTGTGCAGACTAAAAGCTCTTCAATCAGGGCCAGCCCTGTTGTGTGGTGGTTAAGGCAGCTGGATTCCAAACAGCTCTCTGCAGTTCAAGTCCCAGACCTGGCAACTTGAGAAACATGCCAAGTGTGTGTGCATGGATGCCCAAAATCACAAGGGAAGAATAGAGGAGGAGAACCACAGTGTGACCATCCCCTCTGAGGGGTACCTTTTCTCCCCCTTCCCCTCACGAGCATAGGGACCTATAGCACATTAAAAATAATAATAAAAAAAGATAAAAGTTTTTCAATCATGTCTGCTTACTTACGAAAAACTGCATTTAGTATACAAACTAAAGCCTTTTTCATCACAGTGACGTATAATACAGCACCATGCCCACTCTGACCCTCGATGCAGAAGGGCTCGCCCCCTCTGTAACCAAGAAGAAAATACAGCATGTGATGCAGCGACTGCGGAGACAGTGCTAGTGACAGAGTAGGGGGATAGTACTGTGGGAGCCGAGCGGCACTGTTTCCATGGCTTCAGCCTCCACTAGTCCCTGCAAGGCCACAAATGAAAGCTGCGTAAAACTTGAGATGGTTTATATAAAAAACAAAAACAAAACAAAACAAAACACTAACCCTGGGGAAACTTGTTGTCCCCAAGGTTTCCAAATCCCAAAGATGGTTCAGTAACATATTATCCAAGGACAAGCAAGTGGTGTAGTAGTTGAGGCACTGAACTCCCACATGACCAACTGCAATTCAAGTCCCAGACCCAGCGGCTTGAAACTAATGCCGGGCATATGTGCATGTACGCCCAAGATGCCAGGAAGAGAATGGAGAAGAAGGCGGCATGGCCATCCCCCCCGGAGAGTGATTTCTCACTTTCCTTCTCACTGTCTCTCGCTCTCACTCTGGCAAGCACACTCGCCTTATAGCAAAAACCTTTAAAAAAAAAAAAAATCCAGTCCAAATGCACTTTGGAACTATGGGGATGGCCATATTTCCTATCCCACAAAAGGAATCATTTCACTACCAATGGCCAGGTACAGGCAGAAAGCCATCCACAAAGCCGGTCCTGGATCTTGCTCTAAGTGCTCAACATACTCACCTCCCACAGTGTATCAGGCAAAGACCACCACCAGCTCCCCGAGACATACAGCTTTAAAACCCCTATCAGCCTCTGCCCTCTGCTTTGCCATTCACATTTCATGAAAGGCATTTACTACAGATGAAACATAAGCTTCGTTCAGCTGCCGCTAAACTGATCCCAAAAATAGAGCAATCACTTTGGTACAAATTGGGTCAAATGTATTAAAAAAATAAATGATAAAAAATCTGGCTCCCTAGTGAACAGACTGATATGGCATGGGACCTTGCTTAGACACAGGAGGAAATCACAAAGATTGTCCCTCCCCATTGTGGGAAAGGAAATATTTAAAGAGCCAGGCAGAGTAGAAACTCATCTGGCCATGTGACCATCCAAGAGTAAGCAAGCCGCGAACTCAAATGCCAAGCATTGCAGAATACTAAGAGGGCAAAGAAATCTGCACTGGGTTTTGGAAAGGCCTGCCAAGCTAACACACTGCCCTCCCCACCCTTAAAAAAATAAATAAATAAATAAATAAACTCCAGTGTCTAAGAATTGTCAAGAATGGATCCACTGTGGAGAGGGGATGACCAAGGGGAAGAATACAGATACATCCAATTCCTGTATTTTATTCCCTTCTTAGCTGGGAAATTCAAATGATCTGACAGGACTTATATTGGTGTCCTGATTTTCCCTGGGAAAAAAATCAGAATATTAATTGGCTTACACATGCGGCTACATTAATTATTCCATTGATCTGAATTAATCTGCCTTTCTGAAAGGTATTTATTTTCTAAGTTTGTTTAATCATGTTCTCTTGAGCTACAAAAAGCAACGAACTGGGTCACCATCCACATGGTTAAATTTGGTAACAAGGCTAACACCATCTGTGGCCCTAGACTCCAATGATCACCAGTGATGGGGAGGTGGCCTTTCAGTACTTCTGCGCTTCCTTTAAAACGCTCATCTAACGTCACATGTCTACAACCAAATCAAAAGCTATTTAAAACATCCGAAGTTGCATGAATACTCTGTAGCACAGCATAAATATAAACTAATGGTAAGAGTTTATATATGAATCCATCTCACATTTGCAGTTATATCTTCAGTGGCAACATCCGCAATTCTTTACAATTCTCTAGAAATCCAAAGCCCAAACACAAAATAGGCATCATATTACATCTGAAATATGCCACATGTTAAATGTAACATGAAATGCTGCACAAAAACCAGTAAAGCTTACTCACGAGAGCACAATTTCACTTCCTTCAAGAAGGCAGCTGAGTTCTCCCTCAATAGGGAGAGCCTCGACTATCTGCCTTTGCAACAGTCACTCAGTTAAGACCGTCCAGCGCTGCTGAAATGCAGCCCTGACATGAAAAACCAAAACCAAATGGAACTAGCTAAAAGGAAAAAGCTTTTTATCACCCAACACTGGCTCCCTCTACCTGCTGTTCTGTATGGCCCTTAATTAAAAATAACTGGTTCAGGGCCAGCAGGTGGTGTGGAGGTTAAGGCATTGGATCCCACATGGCTGATTGCACAGTTCGAGTCCCAGACCGGGCAGCTTGAGTATCACATCGGGTGCAAATATGAGCATGCCCAGAATCCCAAACGGAGAGTGGAGGTAAAGGAATTTCTGTATGGCCATCCCTCCTGAGGAGTGATCTCTCTCTCTCTCTCTCTCTCTGGTGAGTGCACACACCCTAAGCAAAAAAGAAAACAAACAAACAAAAAAAATTGATCCTAGAAGGAAGGATGCTACACCAACAGAATCAGCAGAAAAATCCTGAAATGGCTTTTGAACCATCCGAGAAGCATTACAGAATGTCAGAGATAAATACAATCCTCGTGGTCTTCTTAACTAGTCTTCCTAATTGCCACGCAGGTGAATGGCAATGCCGAAAGGGTATGAGAAGTACCCCAAAAACAACTATGGACTTGACAGCTGAGTGGGACAGGCCAAATCTAGCATTCTCCAGTGCCTTTCTTTAAAAAAAAAAAAAATTCATTATATCGACTTTTCCCAAAGGAAGTTCCATGGAACACTGGCTCCACTTTGCTAAAGTCTTCTGCCAAAAAATAAGTTTTAAAAATCTATGACCAATAACTTTTAGGGACTAGTTGAGTTAAACCAAATGAAACCTGGTTTTTAACTGCAGAACTTCCCAGAGCTTTTTACTGAGCCACCGTGCACTACAAATCTGTAAGAGGGCAATAAAGTATATGGAGGTCTCCAGATTTATTTAACCAGAGGATCTTTTTATCTTGAGGCACTTCATAGGACCTAGAATAAGAGCTTCAGTACTACAGTGTCTTATTTTCTAAAGCATGCTCTGTGTAGATTCATTGGTTTCATTATAGTCTACTTCTCTAAAAATTCATTGTTTATGTTCAAAATCCATGATAATTTGTCTACCAGAAAAAACTGACCAAAGTATCTACCACTCCCAAATAACATTGGATTTCAAAATAAAAAGAAATGATCAGGATGGTAAACAGCAAAAGCCTGCACGCAGAGAAAAGTTATTTTAAAATCTGCTCCAGATCTCTTCCATCAAAAGTTCCATAACTACTTCTACAAGATCCGTAGCTTTAGAAACACTTTCATTCAGTATCAACTTCAGAATACAGGTCAAAAAAAGAAAGGAAAAGAGAGAGAAAGAAAAAGGAAAAAAAAAAAAAAACCCATGGTTGCTCAGCTCCAGGAAACATCACATACATGGCTGTAAAGTTCGAGCACGCAGAAAGCCAGCTGCCAGCTTCAGTCTAGAAGCAAATGATAACCACATAGAAGAAAGGAGGACTCCAAGGACACTTACCAAGTTATGATTTGTTGAATTAGAATCATCTTCAGGGAATGGGATGTAAATAGCTAAGGCCACACAATTGGCAAAAATAGCCAATAATATAAATATGTCAAATGGTCTGGAAAGTTTGGTTAAGGTATATATGTGTTATGCAAACATAAACCACCTTTCTTGTCACACTCCTGATCACACCACTTCTGCGTGGCTTTCCCAATGAAAATGGCATACACTGCTCATTTCCTGGCTGACTGCTAAGTCTTCAGCACTGGTCACTTCACAGGAGAGCTTCCTATCAAATGACCTCTCCATGTCCTTTTCTTCTGTTGCAGGGACATGTTACACTCATTCTTCTGCCATGCAGTACATGTTAAGACCTAAAAGGGCATCCAGTTAGAGCCTTGTGTGTGAACCAGGTTTCTGCTTCTTGTAGTTTTAAATGCAATGAGTGAATTACTAAATTCCTATCTGCTATAGACACAGAGAAGGTACCATGGGATAGATCTCTTCCACGGATCCTGGCCTCCATGCAACAAAGCCGTCTTTCTTGGGGGCCCTTTTTGGGAGGGAGGGGGCGCTTCCATCTAAATCTTCTGTCTGGATGGGAGAGGGCCAAGTCACTAGGACCTTCTGCATTCCACCTGTGACTCGGGGACATGTTCCGAAACCTTGGATGCTGTGCTAAGCGGCCAGGCTTCATCCCCCTCTTCTCCTTTCTCTCCTAGAGTAATCAATAGCTATAACTGTTTCAGATTAGAGCTGGACAGCAGCTCAGTTTATAATGTGTTGTTATTGTGTTCAATTTATAAACAAATTAAATTAAAAAGCCGTAAGTGATCAGCACCAGACACTTTCAAAGGAGGCTTTAACGATTCTAAATCTCGGAGGCTTGTCTGGAAGAAACACTTTCGGATCAGCCTTCCACCGATACTTGGTTAAACGTTTCGGGGTTATTAAGAGACGTTGTCAAAACTGGCGACACATAATTTGACACCTGCCAAAATGACTGTTTTTCTTCTTTTGGTTTTCAGCCTTTCCAAATGGAAGGTTTCGTGAGCACGGGCCTCATCTGCAATTCCTGGGCTTGATCTTACAACAGTGTTTCTCCCATACATGTGCCCACAAGAAGCAAGGCCACTTTTTAACTAAATACCTCGAGGTGCTAACGATTCCAACATATGAACAAAATGTTCGCCATTCATTCTGCTACCCTTCTGGGAAATCCAAAAGGCAACAGCAACAACAAAAAAAACCCTTACCTCTCCGGAAATACCTTGTTTCATAAAACTTCTACCTTGCGAAGAGCTTTCGATAACTCATGGAAATATTGATATGAACGACTTCATTCCCTTGGTAATTTTTGATGGTTTTATTTTTTAAGCCAGTTAGCTTAAATTCACATTAATTCTCTTAACCCACCTAGTATTACCACATCTTTTATCCAGAGACCCAACTTTCAAACAGCCCACCTTAAGACGACTTTGGATTCCCCCTTTCACTTTTTCTCTTGGCAGGTTCTCACTGAAATTTAGGAAGTTAACTGCTCCAGTGTTATTCTCTGTAATAAATACACTTCATCTCCCCCTCCCACCTCAGTCTTCCTTTTCAGTTCCCTGATATCAGAATGATAAACCAGCACGTCTGAGACACATGACTAACTGTTCGGGAAAGTCTAAACACATGGTGTATTTTTCCTTTAGCTGGTCTGGCTCCAAGTCTCCAGATTCTGGTGGGGACCATTCCACTGCCATGGACCTTGACAAGCCGGGCAGAACAGAGCACCAGAGAAATAGATGGGTCTGAGTGTAACAACTCCTGGGGAGAGGAACATGCCTCTCTCCCCCGGAAACAGGACCCTATGCCTGTCTTGACAACTCCTGGGGAGAAGAACATCCCTCACTCCCCCGGAAACAGGACCCTATGCCTGTCTGAAAAACAAGCTAGATTCTTGCGCTCCCAGTCCTAACGGCGCCTGACAAACTGTCTTTGGGAGGCTATCACCTGCTCCCTGAATTAGAAGGAAACTACTACTTGCAAAAATAAACAAAAGGAACCTACATCATTTAAGGGTCTATCTATTCTAGAAACTGTACTATTTGCAAGCAGGCTTCTCCCTGAGTTAGCTGCCACTCCCCTAATTTTTGTACACGTGTGTCTGGCAACTCAGGAAAGGGAGACAGCAGCATGATCCAGGAATTCACTCTACACACATCAACTGCTGTGTATAAATTACTGTGCACAAAGAGAAACAGCATCAGGCCTCCCACCTCACTGCACATAAAATTAATGACCCCACCAAGAGGTCTTTGCTTACTCAGAGTCACGTCAAGCCAATCTAAGGAACAAGAGATCTTTCTGGCAAAACACAACCAGCCACTGCCTGAGACTCCAGAGATGCCACTGAGGCACATGCTCGCTTTACCTAGCTCCCCCTCGGCCTGACGTGATTATTCTATCCTCAGACTAGAACTTGGAAAATTCACACACACAACCCCAGCTATGTGAGAGACATCAAAACTCACTAGAGAAGAGACATCTGTTCTAAAAAGAAAAAGCATATGAAAACCCTTCAAATCCTACTCTAGCACTCTGCTGTTCTCTCCCAAACCATCTTAGACAGTTATCACATTTTAACTCCTGTCCACGAGCAGAAAAAATAGTCAGCTAAGACAAAGGGCATGCAAATAGCTGCTACGCTGACCACACGAACCACTGGGGGGGGGGGGGGGGCGCGGTCTCGGCCGACCCCCAGGGCCCCGGGGGGGGGGGGGGTTCAGCTCTACTTCCTAGCTGGCTGTCAACATCCTCCTTTTTATGGTGACCCCTCAAGGGGAGCCCCAAATTCATACTCTTTCTTATGGTTAGGAAGTGCTCAAAGGCCCCTGTCAGGAAATGCTTTATTTTACACACACCAATGAATCATCTAATTAGAAAGTCATCTGCTCAGAAAGAAGGCCTTGGTCAACCTTTACTGAAGGATGGCAATAAGTGGGGCCTGGCCCCCAGACTTAGGGAAGGGGATAAGCAGGCAGAGAAGCACGACAGTTTTCCAAGACCTGGAAAATGACAACCGTCCTGGGGCATGTGGAGTTCAGTTTTAAAAATACAAAGAGACACCCAGAAATGTAACTCCAGTCCAAGGACATAGACAGAATTTTTTTGTAAAGGCAGCAACTGCAAATTCCTCCACCATGAGGGCTGTTCTCCAGCTCATTAGGGCTCAGACGGAAGAGGCAGACACAAACCTCTCCCTTCATGGGCTCCCTCACGCTCACATTTCAAATGCTTTTTTGGAACTTGTCAAAAGGAAATTCCAGGAAGTCATAACATTGATCAGCAAACAAAAAGGAAAAAAAAAATCAAAAGTATTCCCTCTCTCTGAAACAAATGTTCATATTGTAACTATCTGAACAATTAGAACCACCAAATGTCAGAGCTAGAAGCAACCTGAGCATTTAAAGATTGGCTTCTGCCAAGACTGGAATGAGAAGATTCCATTAAAGGTCAAAAATACATCTATTCCAGTAGAGTCTCATACTGTGACTTTCATTGTTGTTTTTTGTTTTTTGGGTTTTTTTTTTTAATCTGTTTGTTTGAAACAGCACATTTTACTTGCAATAGGTTTGATGCATTCCACTGCCCCAAAATGACAGTGGGCTTAAGACCAGCCATCTTGTATCCGATGATAAAGGTCACCTTATTATTTGAGTCATCTACCACTTTGAAGTTTCAGGCTGTCACTCCCTCCCCCTACCACTACACACACACAGTAGGTTAAATATACCCATAGAGTCAGCCCTCTGCAACCCAAGGACATAGGGCATATACCAGGAAACCCCTTATATCCAGCTGCTTCTGTTGCTCACATTCCAGACTGCTACCGCTATGCAAGTGTCATTTCAGAAAGCGAATCATTTTAAAGAACAGATGGTAAAAGAGAAAATGAGAACGACTCCCCCCCCCCAAAAAAAAAGGATACTTCCATTCCACTATACTGATGCAGGCTCTTCGGATGGGGTTATTGAGTGATAAACAGAAAAGGGCGCGGGCAGGTCGGCTATTGGACGAGTTACCCTGTTTTTTGCTCTTGGCGTATTGCTGACGTTTTCTTTGGGAGAGAGATCCTACAGGTGGGGGTGCGGAGGTGCTCATAGTCTGGGCAGCCTTGGCCTGTCTAGCAGCATCGATTGCGGCTTGCCAAGACAGGACAGTTTGCTTGGAGCTATTCGGCTGAGAAGTTGGTCCTTCACCAGAAAGTGGGAGTCTGGTGCCTCTTGCATAGTTTGCCTCTGGGGAGAAGAAGAAAAAGAAAGATTAAAAAATGAAGAAGAAGAAAATGATAAACCAGGGGTGGGGGGAGGCATGGGAACCAAAGGTCATCTCCCATCAATAACAAGGGGAGCGTTGCCGTGTCTGTGTCCATTTAGAACCTCATGTTCTGTTTTCAGAAGCAGAGGCTTGATCAAAAAAGTGGGGAGGAGACCAGGCGCTCTGCTTAAGTGCCCATCACACAGGACACAGGTTGGCTCAGGAGCACTACAGTGTCACCCCCAGCAGGGCCAGTACTCCTCCGCCCCCACGTCTTCAGAAGGAATCTTTTAGTGCATTTCTTCTGGCAAGCCCAGGTTGTTCCCAAACTTACCTCACACCTTTTCTGACTTCTAAAACCCATCTATCTCTAATGAGTTAACAGATACGTACAACAGCTTTTCTCTAAAACTACTAAATAACTACCACTATCACACACCAAAAAAAAGGCTTTGCCAATAATTCAATAGTCTTAATCATTTTTAGGGTGTTACTCCAACATCTTTCCTCAGCCACAGATGCTTTTTTTTTTCAGCATGGGGAAAAAAAGAAAAGAAAACCAAAAGCCTCCTCCACTGGCGCCCGGGCAATACCAAAAGCCCCATAACAAATATCTAGATTATGCACTGACACTTCCTGCAAATGAAAATTCATGATGCTGGGGACTCATTTCCTCCACAGGCTTCCGAAAACAGAAAACATCTTTAGGGCTTTTTTGCATTTTAAATTGCAGCAGCATCAGCCAGGCCAGGATCCAGAGAGACAGACAAGGCAGCCTGCACCCTCCACCTAGCACAGACAGCTGGATGATGCCAGGGGGCCTCCAGGCCCAGCAGCAGTCATCTGAGTGTAGGCTGGCACCCAGATGCACACAAGGGGCTGTATGCGACCTAGGGGCAGGCCACCCCTGAGGCAAGTCTCGCAGGTCCCTGCCTGCCTTGGGGCACAGTCTCCTCGCTGAAGCAGAAGTCCCAGTGAGAGGGAGAAAGGCCAGGGACTAGAGGAATGAGCATTTGCAAAAACCAATTACTGCTAAGATCAGAGCGAGCACAGGTCTGCCTGCCCAGGAAGCCTGAAGGGGGACAAGGCAGGAGGGCAGCAGATAGCGCCCAGGGCACCCTGCCAAGCTCTTCTCTTGGGGAGCGTTCACCGGGAAAGGCTTGCGGCCAACAGGGGTTGGGGGCGCCTCCCATCTCCAAAGAAGAGGGCTGGCCAGAAACTGCTCCAGCCTCCCTTAACCCAGCCCCAGCCGGCGTGGAAACTGCACGTGGTGCTCGGTCAGGGATTGGGAGGGGAGCCCGAGAGCGGTGGCGCCTCGCGGGCATTGCTAGGTTACCGATGTGTGCACAGCCAGCACCACCCGGAGCGGGAATACACGCGCCGCCCGACCCCCTTCCCCTAGATTCAGAGACCCGGCCTCCTCACCAGGGGAGGGGTGTGCTTCACCCACCGGTGCTGCGAAGGGTGAAACGGGCAATCCTAGAATTTTCCGGATGCCACCAGGGACCTTTTTCCTAATCACCCTTTTTCCTAGGGAGCGGGGGAGGAAGAGAGATCAGAGGCTGGAAAGGGGGCCCGGGGTCGAGTACTAACCACCCCTCTCCCGTCGCGCTCGGGGGCGTTGAAGGAAAGTTGAGCCCGAGGACACTGAAGCCGAATCACCTCGACTCGCCCCCCTCCGGCTGCACAGTTTTCTACACACTCAACGGCCGCCCCCACCCCACAAATGCAGAATTAACTCTGACATTCAGGGCCTGAAGGGGAGAACCGAGTGGCTGCCACGCATCTCCCCAGTGGATGACACCGACCTAGAGGCATCCTCTCCAACGCCCTCAACCCCCACAGCGCATCGCAGACGGGGAGTGGGGGTGGGGAGGAGGGGGCGGAAAGGGGAGGACAGTGACAAGGATTAGATTTGGCAGCGGGGGCCCCGGCGGGGGCGGGGCCCGGCTGCTCACCGTTCGCGTGGTCCGCTTGCTGCTGCCGTTGATGCTGCATTTTTTTCATCATCATCATCATCATCATCCACGAACATTTATTGAGCGCCTACTGTGTGCAGGGCATGGTGCTGAGCGTCGGGGCGGGGGAGGAATGGGTAAGGGGGTACCAATAGATAGGAGCCGCGGTCCCTGCCCTTATTCTGGCTTCAGCAGGGGGTGGGGAGGGAAGGGGACAAATAACAGAAATTAAGGATAATTTATAAAAACCGCTCACCACCCACGCTCCCTCTTTTTTCAAAAATGGAGCAAAATAAACTTTTTAAAAAAATAAAATCAGATGTATATATTATCTTGAAAATATATACATGTAATTTTTTGCTGCAAAGGAGAATTGGCTTGGTCTCTCCTCTAGCGGAGGGACGCCGCGGTGATGCCGGCCCGGCCGCCGGGGCCGCTCGTTGCGCCCCCCATGCTCGCCCGTCC